TGCACCTGACAAGTCTTTCCGAGACCCATCTCGTCACCCAGGATGCAGCCGTGCTGAATGTCGTAGCACTGTACTAGCCACTTTACTCCTTCCATTTGGTAGGAACGGAGTTGGATACCTAGAAATAAAAGTAAATATTGTTAGGTTTCAGAGTAGCAGCCGTGTTAGTCTGTATCCGCAAAAAGAACAGGAGTACTTGTGGTACCTTAGAGACTAACAAATTTATTAGAGCATAAGCTTTCGTGGGCTACAACCCACTTGTAAAGCTACATCCTACTGTAATGCAATTTACATGGCATTACATCCAGAGACAGAATATGCCTGCCAGCCTGCCCATCCGCCAACCCAGAGCACATAGCATTGGTACTTCACTGGTGGCATTGGCTGCAAATACGTTTTCAGGTGGAGTTTAAGGCACTGGTTTTCACTAATAAATCCCTAAATGATTTGGGACTTGCCTGCTTGGTAGATCATCAAACTCCTGCAACTGAGATCCGTGGAGGAGATGCCTGAACTGGTGCATCTCCTCAAATTAAACAGGAGGGAAATTCTTGAGTGGAATTTTCCATGATGGGTTCTCAACTTTGGAACTTACACCCCCTGCACCCCGGTCTGCCAAGGTGCAGCTTTGTTAACCTACGACAAAGCTCATCTTTTCTCGCTGGTGTTTGGGGATGGAATTATGGGCAACAAATTGAGGAATAGGGTAGTCTAGTACAGTAGTTCTCAACCAGGGGCCCAGGGGCCCCTAGGGGGCCTCGAGCAGGTTTCAGGGGGGCCTCCGAGTAGGGCCAGCATTAGACTTGCTGGGACCCAAGGCAGAAACCTGAATCCCCACTGCATGGGGCTGAAGCCCAGGTTCCTAAGCCCTTCCACCCGGGGCTGAAGCCTGAGCTATGTAGCTTCATGGGGGCCCCTGTGGCATGGGGCCCCAGGCAATTGCCCTGCTTGCTACCCCCTAAGGCTGACTGGCTTTTATATGCAGAAAACCAGTTATTATGGCACCGGTGGGCGTGGAGTTTTTATAGCATGTTGGGGGTGGGGTTGAGAACCTCTGGTCTAGTAAGTTTACTATTACTGATGCTTTGTTATTGTGAGTTTTATGCATTGTAAAAAGCACCTGGAGCTTTCTGTATGGATACTTCTTGCTAGATGAGTTGTAACCAAAATAGAAATAAATAAATCCCCACACTGCCAGATTTCTTTAGCATCCTCCTCTGTAGTCATAAATTGTGCTACATGTAGCTCTGTTCATACTCACTGAAGACATTAATATTACAGACTCTTGATAAGGTGATTGTATTGAACTGTCTTTCTGCCTGCCTACATTGGGGGTGGAGGATGATTTTGTGGTTAAAGCACAGGACTGGGGGGGAGGGGGGAAGAAGAGCTGGGCTCCATTTTAAACTCTGCCAGAAACTCCACACATAATATAGGCCAAAGTCACTTAGAACACAATTTTCAGGAACGTCAACTGATATGTTACCCAGCTTGAGACATCTAGGCCAAGATTTTCAAAAGTGGGCGCCTAAAGTCAGGCCATGTACACCTCTACCCCGATATAACGCGACCCGATATAACACGAATTAGGATATAACGCGGTAAAGCAGTGCTCCAGAGGGGCAGGGCTGCGCACTCCAGTGCATCAAAGCAAGTTCAATATAATGCAGTTTCACCTATAACATGGTAAGATTTTTGGCTCCCGAGGACAGTGTTATATCAAGATAGAGGTGTATTTAAGTGCCTAAATGTGGATTTTGGCGCCTCTGTGGAAATCAAATATATAGTCAGACACTTTAAAATGCAGCCTCATTTTCAACACAGGCCATTTATTTAGGCGCTCAAATATGGATTTAAGTGTCTAATGTCAGGCTCCCACTCTTGAAAGTCTTCATCTCAGCATTTACTATGGTGTGGTAATAATTTCTAAACAAGCTATTTGCCGGATTTTCTATATTTAAAACAGGGTAGGGCACAGTAAAGGCAAGTATTGTATTGTAGCCACCACTGCAAAGCAATGTATATTTATCTTCACAACATAAAAACAAAAATTAATTGAAGACTCTTGTATTCTTTTCTTCAATACCTTGGCTTCGATACTGTGACCCACACCTTAATTCCTTGCTATAAAGCGTGAAACCTCTCCCACTGTCTCCATAAAAGACCCAGAGAGTGGATTGAAATATAGCTCCCAACTGTGATGTAGAGCGTGCAAACAAGCCAACTGGAGAATTGCTCTGCAGTGGATTATAATAAATAATACTTTCCCTTCACTAGCACCTGCCATCAAAGGAGCAGAAAGCACCTTACACCTGTTGAACAAGCTTCCGAGCCTACTTTGAGGTAGGTGAGAATTATCCTCATTTCACAGACAAGGAAACCTAGGCACCAATAAATGAAGGGACTTGTTCACAGGAAGTGTTGTAGAAGGGTCAGGAGTAGAGTCCAGGAATTTCCAATGCCTGAGCTCTAACTAGAAAGTCAAGAAGCAGATTGATGAACTACAACCTGGGAGGGTTAGAGATGTAGCAAGTGGGTTAGGGAACCATTCTCTACAGTAGGGAACAGAGAATAGGAGCAAATGTAAAGTCTCATACCCAAGCCAGCCTCCCTCCAGAAAGTCTCTATATTATTGTAAGACTTTAGTATAAGTGTTAACTGATTGCAGTTGATTGGGACCAAGAAAAACATAAACATAGCATTGTGGCAGATGGTTTTTTTTTTTTTCCAGGGAGAGTGACAGACACTGGAATGTTAAATGTGGATTTATTTCATTTCTGCAATTTCCTAACATTACAATAATCTTCATTTTGGAAATGCTGATGGTAGAAAAATAGTTCTTGCTTTCTAGGATATTGTTTTAGAAGACAAAACCATGTGGCTGTTATTTTTAGAGCCTGTCACCCTGCCAAAATGAAGGAGCGTCCCCCTTTTTAAATTTACTATGTAACATTTCAAACTTTTTTTGTGTGTACAGCTACCTTCTCCAAGCTCCAGGGAGCTGGATAGTTTCTGTGGGAAAAGATAAAAAAGAAGTTTATTTGATTTAAAAAAAAAATCTTAACCATAAAAATGGGCAGAGTAAACCGAATTCTAGTTTACACCAGTGTAATCCCAGAATAACTCCACAGAACCAAATTCTGCTCTTAACTACAGCACTGCCTGACTAGGTTAGCTAGAGAACTGCATTAACTCTAGTGGAGTTTATTTACTGACAGCAGACCCTGCCCCAGGTCTAAGCCACCTCTCACTGCTGTAGGGAGAAGAACTGCCTGCAGTCTCACCCCAGTTCACACACCATGTGCCCAGAGCACTGACACCCTCGGGATCAGCAAACCCTTCACTTACTTTACCCTACAAACAAGTAACTTCTTCTGACAGCTCAAGCCATCCCCACTAACCTGTCAGACCCCATTGGTGCAAGTCCTTCTCTTTAACGCCTGGCCCGCCCGTCCTTGCTGTGGGTTTATTGCACAGGGCCTGGAAGAAGTGAGACATCGCGATCTACAAATACTCCTCCCTTGGGTGCTACCCCATCGGCTCCCCGCAGCGCTGCTCTGTCCACCCAGGCCAGCAGCAGTTACAGGAAACCCCCTCTGACCTAGCAGAATTGTCCCGGAAGGATGCAAGTCAGAGTAATTATGTCATTTGCTGATTGAAGCACGGTCTTTATGCAGATCCTCCCTACAGCCTTGGATTGGCTGGTTTTACAAGACGACTTCCCTCATTGGGTAGACACAGCTCACAGCTGTTGATTGGATGAATGGCTGGACTGCTGTAGCATTTTTCTTGGCGCAGCGCCTAGGATGCTATTTCCATGCAAGCTAGCTTTGCAGGTGTGCAAAACCACAGGTGCTGGAACTCGGGGTGTTACTGCACCCCCTGGCTTGAAGTGGTTTCCATCATACAGGGTTTTACAGTTTGGTTCAGACGGCTCTCATCACCTTTGTGCAAAACCGCGTAAGAGCTTCAACTCAAGGTGTTTAGGAGGGGAATTCGCAAAGCCACAGGGTTCTGTACTTTCTCACCCACTCCTGGCTTCTTGTCTGATGTTTGAAATAAAGAGATGAAAACTCGCTTTATAACACACTGCATTTCCCTAGCACTTTCCATCAGAGCATCCCGAAACTTATCAACTAGTAACCGTCATTAAAAAAGTCACAGGAAAAAACGTTTAAAACATTAATCTTTGTGACAACTGTATTTACACTTATTTTTTTCTGTTTTTATAGCTTTTTTTTCTCTCCCTCGTTACTATGGGAAAAAACACATAATGGAGAAAAGTGATTGGGCCATAAGCCTGCTAACAGCTGTGCACCTGCTTAACTTTATACATGTGAATTGTTCCATTGAGATCAATTGGTCTTCAAACCATAATGGTAATCAGGTGATTAATCGAAGGATTAGGGCTATGCAAAGTTTTGCACACAAGTATATCGTAAAAAAGTTGGGGCATTATTGACTATTCAGGGGAAACAGTGACATCGACTGTGCACTAAGTGCTGCCTGTGAAATTGGGGGATTTTTTTTTCTCATTTACCCTACAAACTGCGTTCACTTCCCCTGCAACCCGCTAGTGCAATCCACCACCGCGCGTCCCCTTCAACCTACTATGATCAACGTCACGCTGCATTTTCCCCGTCCCTGGGCAATATACACCCAACCCTCCTGTGGTCACTCCCCCTTCAACCGCCTATGTGCAACCTTCCTGCGGACACTTCCCTCTTATATCCCCTGTGTGCAACCCTCACCCCGCTGCATTTCCTTAGCTATTCCGTGTGCACCCCTCTGTACAACCCGCCCTTCGCATTTCCTCACCCCTTCCCTGTGCAACCTCCCAGCTGCAGAACCCTTCCCTCCCTCCCTCCTCCTACAATCCCCCCGCCCAGTGTCACGCCCCCACTGCATTCGCTCCCCCTTCAGCCCCCTCCCCCCGCGCAACTCCTCCCGCTTGGCTCTTCATCCCCTCCCTGCGCTGCAAAGCCCCCTGCACAGCGCGTCTCCTCCTCCCCCCGTGCACACGCCTTGCGCCGCCTCCCCGCGCCTGTCCCTGCCTCGTCCCGTCCCCGGGCGCTGCGCTGAGCCGCCCGCCGCCCCTGGAGGCTGCTCCGGATCATCATGGCGCCGCTGCTGCTCTCGCTGGCAGTCGCGCTCCTGCTCTTGTATCTGGGCTTCGTGCGGCGCAGCACCGGAACCCCCCGCACCGCCTTCCACCGCCGAGAGCCGGGCCGGGCCGGGGACAGCGGTCACCAGCCCCCGCGGAACGCAGTGAGTATCGGGCCGGGCCGTGGGCTGCTCCCCGGCATGGGAGTGGGGTCGAGTAAAGGGGGCTTTGCCTCCCGTCTCGGCGGTGGGGTTGGGGTGTCACCCCCGGGGGCGATGGGACGGGGAGGCTCCATCCACCCATCCCCGCCCTGCGCCAGCCTCCCCGCCCGCAGCACTTCTCTCTTTCTCTGTCTCTTCCCAGTGGGGTCCCCCGCTGTCCGGCTTCCCGCTGCGCCTCTTTGTCCATGTGGCTAACACGGTGAGTACCTGCCCTGCGCCGGGAGCCCCAGCCCAAGAGGTGCTGCGGGGAGCCCGCCCCGCCCCAGTAATAATGGGATTTGGCACCTATGTCATTTGCCAGCTGCTTTACAGCTGTTATTGCTGACAGTCTCCCCTTCTCCAGGGAGGCAGATCTGAGTTAACCCCATTTGATAAAGAGAGGGGAGGAGTCCAAGTAAGGAGACGTTAAGGCTTTGTCTTCACGAGGGTGAAGACAATTTTTTAAACCTTTATTAAGCTAAGCTAACCTCCGTCAACATCCTAGTGAGGCCAAGACAGCTGTAGAACTACAGTGTCGGGCAGGTCAACACATAAAACACTGCAGCGGATGGCTGTAGGTCTGGAGTGAAGATGCTCCTACGCAGGATGGGAGAAAGCTCTCCCCTCAATGTAGTTAATCCATCTCCCCCAGTGGTAGCTATGTTGGCAGGAAAAGCTCTCCAGTTGACACAGTGCTATCTTTGGGGGGGGGGGGGGGGGGGGTTAGGCCAGTATAAATATGTTGCTTGGGGGTGTGGCTTTTTCACACCCCTGAACAATATAGTTATACCAATATAGGTCTCCTAGTGTAGACCAGACATTAGTTTAGACATGCTAAAAATACATCTTTTTTGCCTCTTGTAGACACAGCCTAAATGTTTAGTTCTTAGTTTGTGATAGATTTGGGATTAGAAATCAATAAATTCTTAACTTCCAGTGCTGTGCTCAGACCACTTAACACCACTTCTCTAATGCCACGGCTAGAGGGGATAAAAGATGCTGTTGGCATGAAACTCATTGGAATTAAATACAATCATAGAAATGTACACCTGACAGGGACCTCAAGAGGACTTCAGTCTGCTGTCAGTAAATAAACTCCTGCACTGAGGCAGGACTAATTAAACCTAGACCATCCCTGACAGGTGTTTGTCCAACCTGTTCTTAAAAACCTCCAATGATGTGGATTCCACAACCTCCCTTGGAAGCCTGTTCCAGTCCTTAACTACAGTATCCTTACAGTTAGAAAGCTTTTCCTAATATCTGACCTACATTTCCATTACTGAAGATTAAGCCAATTACTTCTTGTCCTATTTTCAGTGGTCACAATAATTGATCTCCGTCCTCTTTATGACAGCCCTTAACATATTTGAAGTTTATCTGGTCCCCCTCCGTTTTCTTTTCTCAAGACTTAACATGCCTAGTTTTTTTTTTTTTTTTTTTTTTTTTTAAACCTTTCCTCATAGGTCAGGTTTTTTAAACATTTTATTACTTTTGTTGCTTTCCTCTATACTGTCTCCAATTAATCCTCATCTTTCCTAAAGTGTGGTGCCCAGAATTGGAAACGTTACTCCAGCTGAGGCCTCCATGTAGAACACGACAATTACCTTCTGTGTCTAATATACAACATTCCTTAATGCACCCCAGAATGATATTAGTCCTTTTTGCAACTTCATCACATTGTTGACTCATACTCAGTTTGTCATCCATTCTAACCCACAGATTTTTTTCAGCACTGTTACCATCTAGCCCCCTTTTGTTGTGCATTTGATTTTTTCTTCTTTAGTCTTTTGTATTTATCTTCATTGAATTTTATCTTGTTGATTTCAGACCAATTCTCCAATTTGTCAAGGTTGTTTCTAATCCTGTCCTCCAAAGTGCTAGCAACCCCACCCACCTTGGTGTCATCTGCTGATTTTATAAACATACTCTCCATTCCATTATCCAAATCATTAATGAAAATATTAAATGGTACTGGGACTGATAACAATTGATAACTACTCTTTTGAGTAAAATCTTTCAACCAGTTGTGCACCCACTTTATAGTAACTTAATCTAGACAATGTTTCCCCAGTTTGCTTATAAGAATGTGATGTGGGATTGTATCAAAAGCCTTACTAAAATGAAGATATATCACATCTACTGGGTCCTCATATCCACTTGGCCAGTAACCCTTTCAAAGAAGGAAATTAAGTTGCTTTGGCATGATTTGTTTTGACAAATTGATGCTAGTTATTCCTTATAACCCTGTTATCCTCTAAGTGCTTACAAACTAACTGTTTAATAATTTATTCCAATATCTTCACAGCTATTGAAGTTAGGCTTACCAATCTATAATTCCCTGCGTCCTTTGTGTTCCCCTTTCTTAAAGATAGGTACTGTATTTAATCTTCTTCAGTTTTCAGGGACCTCACCTGTCCTCTTTGAGTTCTCAAAGATAATTGCTTCAGCTCGTTCATTAAGTACCCTAGGATGATTTTCATCAGACCTTGCTGATTTGAATACATGAAACTTACCTAAATCCTTTCTCTAAGTTACCAACAACATGGTTAAACCATTAAAACTGTAAGAGGTTTGTAAATATTATTTATGATTTGCATTACAGTACATCTAGAAACCCTAGTCTGGGATCAGTCCCTCATTGATTTTGGTGCTGTGTTCTCTCTCTCTCTCTCTCCATCTCTCAAAAGATGGTCAATGCCCCCAAAGCATTTAATAATTTACTTTCTGCATTTGACAGCTGCACTTTGATTCTCATGTCCTATTGTTGATTGATTGTATAGCACCAGCGGTCTGTGAAATGCCTAGCAAAAAAATTGGGTTTCCAGCACTGTAGGGGAAATTTTATTTATTTGTTTGTTAGTTTTCATTGGAATAAGAATAAAAATCGCCTTGTGGGAAAGCCATTCCTTAAATTTGTGTAAACTCTTCATGTCCCTTCTTTTTAAAACAACTTCTACATTTTAGTCCCAAAGTTAGTCAGTGGGAGGACACAGAGGTGTGTTTTACAATTTAAAAATCCAGTATTTTCCCCTCACTATTCATAATTGCTGCTTGGAAGAAGAAAACGGGGATCTCTGTTGAGTGGGACCAAATCCAGCTAGCTTCACTCACACAAGTAATCATGTTGAAGCCAGGGGGGCTATTCACATGAATAAAGTGATCAGGATTTGTCCATTTCTGCAGCTCATGCACTGTGATTCTTTGAGAGATCGCACAGACCTAGGCTCCTGTAACAAGAATGGCCAGTTTAACGGGTTGACTGTCTGAGAAGTACTCTGATCAAGCTTTACCAGCGCAGATGCTTGTAGGTAAACAAAGCAGTGAACAGTACCAATTTGCACCGGGAAGTTCACCAGTCTAGTTACCTAAGGTTTGTCAGTGAAAACATTTTGGAATAAAACAAATTTCACCCCTTTAAAATGGTCATTTCCCTGTTCTGAGCAGGTTTAGAGGACATGGTTATTTAAAACACCGGTGGCTGATCTGTACTACTACAATGCTGGGGCGCTTTTAAAAAAAAAAAAAAAAAAAAGAGAGAAAATAGCTCAGTGTGGAGACAGGCATTCTCTGAGGCCCCACGACAGGTAAATATTTGTTTACAATACGTTCTGAACTCCTTGGGGAAATCCTGCAGCTGAGGCCAAGTATAAAAACCCTTTCCACATTGAAAAAATCATGACATTCCAGCTGCTTATGACTTTACTGTCAGCAGATGACAGAGAATCCACCATCCAAACAGTGAAATCTTGCCTCACTAGTTTCCTGAGAATTTTTAAGCTCTTCTTGGTTCATTGATTTATTCCTACCTCCCTGGCTGCTCCTGATCTCTTCTCTGATCCTGGCACAACCATGTGATTCGTGCACAGCAGAGTGCTGATAGGGATAAGTGACTGACCCCCAGTTTAAGGTGATCTTGATATGTGACCAGACAGAACACATATTTGCCTCAGCTCCAGAATAGGTTTTTGTAAAATGTTTTACCTTTACAACATATTGGGGTAGCAGCTTTCTTCTTAAAGCTATGTACAAAGAGCTATTGCCAGAGCTACATAAATTACATCTCCCTTCCCCGCACGTTTAATTGTGTGGCTTGTTCCTGAGCTTGACAACTGCAGGGAAGGGGAACTAGCTACAGGGAATTTTTCTTAATGGAGCTGTCTTTATGGCTAAAGCACAGGATGGGGAGCCAGGATTCTCTTCCCAGTTCTGCCACTGACTTGCTGTGTGCCCTTGGGCTAGTCACATTGCCTCTCTGTGCTTTAGTTTCCCCATATGTAAAATGGAAATGAAAATATTTCCAAACATCACAGGGGTGTCTTAGGGGTTTAATCTTTGTTTACATTTGTAAAACATGTTGATATCTCAGAAATAAGGAGCTATTATAAATACAAATTAATAATTTAGTCTATTGATCTTTTCTACCTTTTTACCTAAATGCAGGAATAAGAGACGCCTGCAGAAAATTTCAGTATATTTTTCCCTACCCTGAATTCTGTCAATAATTAATTTTTAAGCACAATCTTGTACTGTTAAATCAGGGCAGAACATGACTGATCTCTGGAATCGTTAATATTGCCACATTAGCAAAGGCATAAAGATAGAGTTTGAATGCCTTCGTTCCCAGTGTGGAACATTTACATTTCTAATGCTTTACTGAGATGACTAGGTTGAGGAAGGGGAGCAGGTTCACTGGTGTATCAGGGCAACAGAGTGTTAATGGCATTGTGAAAGCTCCTTGCAATGGATTAAATAAGATAGAAACTTGATAACTCTTTTATTCAGAGTTTGTGTTTTGCAGAAAGCTACAAGGATTGTGGATGGAACTTACAGATTTCTTGTGGCTGACTTGACTTTTTTGTTTCCAGTCTGTGAGCACGTGGCTTTTGGGATTGTCTCTCTCTGAAGGATGGGCATTGATGTATTTTGGCTAGTGAATGGAAGGAACATATATCAGGAATGTTCAGGATTCTGTAAACGTGGACCAAATCTATGGTTTGACAGTTTCCCTTTAAGGATTGCATGAATGGAATTCTCATATCTTTGATTTGTATTCTAATTTCCTTATAGTATAGAGCTCCCCACAGCTAGCGCTCCCAGTTGCGAGAGAGAGGAGCTAAGGTAAAATTAGCTGTCAACTAATTCTACCTGTTTTTCATCCTCTGTTCTCTTCTCTTTTAGGCTTTTGGGCAGTTTTGTGTAATGCCGCTTTTACTGAGGTAAGAGTATGTTCCATATCTGCACTCTGAGGTTTTGCATTGTTAACAAATCTGGGGTATCTGCAATGACCTCTTTAAAGGGGGAGTCTGTGTAATTTGGGATTTTCCTAGGGCCCTGAAGAGAGTGGGCAGAACTATTGAGCAGAGGCCCTGGTGTTTGCTGGCGTTTTCTTTAATTTTTCTAATTTGATGACATTCAGATTTTCTATCAGGGAAGATTTAACCCTTTCTTTTCACAGCCAACCTTGTGCTTGGAAACTTCCTTTGGGTTGCCTCTCTGCCATCTCATACCTTCTTACTAAAGAGCAATCTCCTCTTTCTCAAAGTTCAGGGGCATACTGATCCGACGTTTTTGTTCACCTGTAGTAGGGGCAGGAGAGCAATAAGGGGCTGTGAAAGATTTCCAGGGTACAACCTGAAACCGTGGGACTGCTGTGCCCCCTTAACTCTCCAGCCTGGGCTGTCTCTCATGATGCTTTGCCAGTGACGAGCGGCAAACCCCTCCAGATGCTGCGATCACAGTTGACAGCATACAGGCACACACCCAGCTAAATTGCATGAATGCTCTCTCAGCCACTCATGAACTATACAGAGGGAGACACCAGAAAATCCCCCTAGCTTTGCATCCCCAGAATTGTACCTTCTTACGCTGCTCAAGAGCTTCTCTTGAACAATGCAAGCTCGTTAATTAGTTTGACACTTCATCAAAGGAAATGGACATGCACCAATCTTTGTAATCTGAGCAGATTCCCCAAGCATTCCAGATAAACTCACTGGTTAAGATTAAACATTAAAATAAGTTTATTGACTACAGAAAGATATCATTTATAGTCACTTAAAATCTAACGATCTCTGATCTTTATGCCTATGCAAGAGATAAATGTAAATACATTCTAAATACTAAACTTTATCAGTCTTAGTAAGATTTGAATCGAACAGCTTTTCTCACCCCACTGGATGTTGCTGGCAGGTCATAATTCCTAATACACAGGCTGAATTCTCTTCTCAGCCTAGGACCAATCTCTCCAGTTCAAAGTCTTTTCTTCCAAACATTCTTGTCGCCTTCAAAGTAGGTGGGGAAGGAGAAGGGTCTCATGAGGCCACTGCCCTTTATTTTATACTCTCAGTTCATGTCCCTGGGAAAATACTAGCCCAAACATGTCTTAGTGGACCTTGCTGACTCAGAGTTGAGCAATCACCATTGTGTAGTGCTTGCGCAACTGTCTCTTATTAAACTGTAAATCTCCTGCTGGTCAATGCGTGGTGATGGTCATTTAACACCTGCCTGGGTGTGGGTCACCTCCTTTGGTGCCACTGGAGAACAAACGGTGGGTGACTCCCAGACTCACAACATATTTCAATAACAACCATATAGCAAAGTCTTATAACTCCGTATACAATGATGATATACATATTTTGACAGAATAATGAGTTTCAGCAGATCATGACCTTTCCTATACATGCTTTTTTATGAAATATCATAACCATTTACAAATGATGAATATGGAGGTTACAGGGTGCTACTTTGAGGTACAATGCGTCACGGGTCACATGAGAGTCAGAGCCAAATTGATAATTCTCTTTGAAGTGTTCAGATCGAAGGTTTTGGTTTAGTTTATTCCAGACCTCCCAGTTGCCTTTTCAGCGTATGCAGTCATGAACATGCCCTTAATTGTTTGCACTTTGATCTGAAGAGGCACTAATAATTCAAGCTCGCAATGCAGCCCACAAGTATTGCTTATAATTTGGTGGGCAATATCTTGCAGATCCCAATACATTTTAAAGTTCTTCCCTGTAGTGCTAAGAACACTTGAAAAATGCCTGGTTTTAGGTAGGATCTACAGTGCGTTCTTTAGCTACTGAATACCTCCAAAAGAAATGCAAATTAACAAGGACAGAAACTGTCACGCTCTTGTACAGTGGATCACTCCTTAAAATCAGGACCCTCATAGATATTGCTCATAGACTTTAAGGTCAGAAGGGACCGTTATGATCTTCTAGTCTGACCTCCTGCACAATGCAGGCCACAGAATTTCACCCCCCACTCCTGTAGCAAACCCCTGACCTATGTCTGAGCTATTGAAGTCCTCAATTTGTGGTTTAAAGACTTCAAGGTGCAGAGAATCCTCCAGCAAGTGGCCCGTGCCCCATGCTGCAGAGGAAGGCGAAAAACCCCCAGGGCCTCTGCAATCTGCCCTGGAGGAAAATTCCTTCCTAACGCCAAACATGGCGATCAGCTAAACCCTGAGCATGTGGGCAAGACTCACCAGCCAGACTCCCAGGAAAGAATTCTCTGTAGTAACTCAGATCCCACCCTATCTAGTGTCCCATCACAGGCCATTGGGCATATTTACTGCTAATAGTCAAAGATAAATTAATTGCCAAAATTAGGCTATCCCATCATACCATCCCTTCCATAAACTTATCAAGCTTAATCTTGACACCAGATATGTCTTTTGCCTCCACTGCTCCTCTTGGAAGGCTATTCCAGAACTTCACTCCTCTGATGGTTAGAAACCTTCATCTAATTTCAAGTCTAAACTTCCTGATGGCCAGTTTATATCCATTTGTTCTTGTGTCCACATTGGTACTGAACTTAAATAATTCCTCTCCCTCCCTGATATATTTATAGAGAGCAATCGTATCTCCCCATGGCCTTCTTTTGGTTAGGCTAAACATGATCACTCAAACCAATGTTGTCCCCTACAACCATTTCTTCTATGAGGTCCTCACTACTCACCAAAACCAAATCTAAAATGGCATCCCCTCTTGTTGGTTTAGCAACTACTTGGTGAAGGAATCCATCAGCTATCGCATCCAGGAAAATATGAGCCCTATTATTATTACTAGCATTTGTCCTCCAGTCTATATCTGGGAAGTTAGTCTCCCATGATCACACAATTTCCATTAGTATTTACTTCATTAAAAACATTAAAGAGGTCTCTATCCATATCCAAATTGGATCCCAGCAGTCTGTAGCACACCCCAAGCACTATCCCAGGGAGGCTGTCAAGGCTGTATCCCCACTTTGAACTTTAGGGTTCAAATGTAGGG